ATACGTTGCGAAAACACATTTTCAAGTTTCAAGTAATAGAAAGGTTTTTCAACGCCTGAAATTGAGAATTTTGAATGACATTGAGTAAATACTATCATTTAGTACTACCGATAGAACTTAAGAATTAAAACCAAAAACAACCCTGAAATAATTTTAATTTCCGGAAAAATCTTGTGATGTGTGAATTGGTAACTCGAATCTCGTCCTTAATGATACGAGTAGCTATCGCCACTAGCATTTAGGCACCGCATGATGATGCTGGTGCAGGCTTGGGGCATCTTGCTCCAACATCTTGATGGGCTTGGGGCTCGCCATCCAACATCTTGGATCTGATGGCGAATTTTTGGCGAATGACTCAGAATTATCTGGGAATTAATAATAATTTATATATCTCTTTGCGATCGATCATGAAGCGAAAAAATCAAGCACTCGCCTCGTTCGCAATTTGTTTAATAGTCTGGCCTTGCAAACACTAACTAAGACGATGATCATATTCATTATTCCTTCTTCCGTCAACAAGGTCTCCATGAGATTTCATTTGAACCGGACGAAAAAGCGTTAAAATTTATTTTGTACCTATCATTATGGGAATTTATATCTTAATACAGTCGAGAACAAGTAGGAAATTCTATTGAAACTTGTGAGGTTTAAGGAGGTTGAAATATTTATACAAGTAGACATTTGTAAGGTAATGTCCGATTAATGTGGTCCCATTGAGGTCTCGTTTGTTTTATGGACCATTACTAAAAAATACTGGGCCTATGTTTTTTTTAACAAAGGCCTAGTTTCAATTCAGCTTTTAGCTCCTATCCACTTGAGATTGCGAATAGACAGGTTTTACAGTTGTTTCTTGAGCTCTGCCTTTTGTTGGAAATTTAGGTATTAATTTCGGTTCGTTGAATTTCAATTGTACTAACTTGTGATTTTATCTGCATTCTAGAGTTTTTCTAAGTGGCGATGTAGCTGGACTCCGAAACGTTATTAGTTATTAATTATTAAGTTATTATGAACCTTTGTGATTTTTCTTTGCTTTTAAATTTCTAATTAATTTGCGATTCCTTCATACGAGTGACAGTAATAATTAGTAGCGAGATTCTAGAAAAGTCACAGACAATCTGATTTGTTAGACTTATGGCGGCTTTGAAATTATGCAGGCGACAAATCGCATAGGTAAAGATGAAACTAAGCGACTTTTTCTTTTTCAGTGAAAATTTTGTGATCCGACTTGAAGTTAATAAGGCATTTAGTTCTATAATTATAGGCAAGATGCTGCTACTGTTGTACATGCTCCTCCTCGGGGTGAGTGAAGCACAAATTAATTCAAATTCCCATTCTATGAAGGAATATACACATTTTTCTCTCAGATACTCTGTTGATACAGAAAAAATATAAAACTTCGAATGTGTTTCTATACTAGCTTTTTAGTATTCGCAGTTGTAAAAAAAATTTAGTTATGATGAATTATGTTACTGGCTGATTACATTTGATGTTCTGTCCCTGATTGAATGTTTCATGTATCTTTAGATGTATATAAGTGTTTATTCATAAAGTTATAAGGTCAGTAGCATCTTTCTCACATGGAATAATCCTAACTAGGTATTTGAGTTTATTTTCTTCTTGGCTGTTAGCATTTGTTTTAACTTAGAGAATGTACTAAAAATTAAACAAACAACGATTACGTTTAGAATTTAGATGAATGATGTAAAATAAGAACACTCAAATTACGTAGGAGTTCGTAACAGTTTAAAATTTAACGATAAAGTAATTCTCAAGTTAATTTCTGTTTCAGGGAGCGTCCAGCTCAACTGTACCATCAACGACGGTAAGTTTAACGGTAAAATTTACCCCTCTTGATAACGATCAATATGTGTACCAACAGCGTCAAAACCTCATCGCTCAAACCATGACTCCAATTTTAAAGTTACGCATTAAGTTGACAATATTTGTTGATACATTCTATTTTTGGACGACATTTATAGTATTTGTACTTTCACTCAGTTCACGGCATTTAGTAAGTGAACCTCTTGGCTCCCGTCTGTTGCAAGTACCGCTCTGCGCCGAGGGGTGGCATGCGTGTGGCGGCTGCTGCCAAATAATTTTTTGTTAGGCAGTAATCATTTTATCAATTAAAAAAATATGTAACCCCTATAAGGCCTCCCTTAAACGTGTAATATTGCTATGAATTGTAACATTAATTATACTATATTTTATATAGTATATATTTTTTGATTCTAGAAGAATACATACTACACAGCTATGTGGTCTCATTGAGTTAAACTATGCATGGAAATTATCTTTTCAGATAATTGTACCATCAATGACGTACCCTCCTGCGTTCCGCTCGTGCTCCATGACTCCTGTTGCGCCTCTCTGCGCCAATCTTGGTACTCTAAACTGTAACCACTGGGCCACCTTTTATAATACCTTAGATGAAGCTATCCGCAGGATCACAGGCATTGTTGAAATCTACCTCCTCGGCAACTTTACGCAGGAGCAGGAGCTGAATAAGAAATTCGGTTCATCCACCTGGGAAGTTTAAAGAGGAAGATCATTGAGAATGGCCATAGTATTCCATCACTGGTACCATAAATCTCCAGTATTCGTACTGTAACGGAGTTAGAGTGACCCACCTCTTTTTCAAATCAAATGCAAAATGATTCCCCAAGTGCTATAATGATAATGAGTTTCGTGATGTTGCCTATGGCGTTAGTTCGATCTCGTGGTCACAAGAAGAGAAGATATTAGCAAGCATCCTCTCGCCCGAATTTATCAGTCAGTGCCACAGTGCAGAATGTGACGCTGACAACGAAGCTACACCATATCATCTCCCCGTGAAAGACGGATCCAGACGATGACATGACGACCGAAATAAATTAAGGATTACTTTCCGTATTCGCTGTACAATTTCTCCTGAAATGTGAACTTTTCTACAAGATCTACCACTTCCCGTACCACCACTTCCCGTACCGCCACTTCCCGTACCACCACTTCCCGCACCACCACTTCCCGTACCGCCACTTCCCGTACCACCACTCACAGAACTACCACTCCCCGTATCCCGTGCCACCACTCCCTCGTGAGCCCACTCACCGTAAAGAGCAGCCGCGCCACTCCATCTGCTTTTTTTCTGATACTCATTAGTGTGGCTTACTATTGTTCGAACTCGATTGAGTATAAAATTTCTTGATCCCTGCCTGAAATGAGATGGTCCCTGCCTTAGGATGTTGAAAATGTGAAGTTGATTAATACAAGTGCATTCACATTCCATGTCCTTCAAACTCTAACATCATGTACTATAGAGACGGGATTTAACCATACATAATTGATTCGTGATGTGATGCAATTAACTAATATTCTATTTTCAGCGTTCAATTCATTTTACTTCGACGATCAAAATGAGTGTTGGGCTTCAAACTACTGGGAGTTTGAGGCAATGGTGGTGTGCTCAGGCCAGGGTATGGTCGTCTACTCCTCGCATGTCAAACTGTCTAATTTCACCTTGCCACGTAAGTGATGACATACCTTCGAGAAACATAAAACCCATGGATTTACATTGCATGTTCCAACCTAAATCAGAACGTACATTGTCAGGTACTATTCCCAATTTTCATTGTTTCAGCTCCTATAATTNGTGATGGCATACCTTCGAGAAACACAAAACCCATGGATTTACATTGCATGTTCCAACCTAAATCAGAACGTACATTGTCAGGTACTATTCCCAATTTTCATTGTTTCAGCTCCTATAATTACCACGTTCACTGTTACTGACCCGAAACTTGGAGAATCGTTCACCGTCAACTACATTGCCCTGTGTTCGAAGTTCTTCAACTTTACTCTCAATTATGGAAGCGAAAACCTTGGGACTGTGATGTCTGGCCAAGTTATTCCATACGATGTACCTCCCTGCACAACAATGACTTTCACCCTAACACCTTCATTTGGAGGGACATCAGGGGTGTCTGTGAACGCTGATTGCACCACACCTGATGGTGAGACTATTACATTGAGAATATTAAATTTTCTACATGAACTCAAAATTGAAATAAGTTCTCGTGATATAATATTGAGGAAACCACACATGTTAAATTTCTCATTTGAACAATATATATAGTCACAAGATGAAAATGCCATTAAGTGCATGTCAAAATCCATTCCTGTTTATAAGCTCCCGACTTGGTGAGCTTCGCTTTGTACAACATGGCCTTGCGCTTTCAGTCGCCGAGCTATGTCAAACGATGATTAGAATAACCAGAATTAATTTACAGTTCCAGACGTGGACAATCTCAGCATCGACACCTTTGTGCTCAACATGTCCTTCGTGGTGCACTTCACACCTAAATGTCCTGGAGTTTTCACCTACAACTTGTTGAAGGACGGTTCTTCCGTCCAACCTGAAGTGGAACAAGATGCCTTGGTCACGTTCGACGTACAGCCATGCACCACATACTCCACCTTCACTCTGCAACCTGTGAACCCGAACGGGACAGATGCCGGAACTGCAATTCCTATTCCTACCACCCTGAAATCTCCTAACTGTGAATGTTTTTGCTTTGTTTATGTGTAATATTTTGGAACACGTTCCGTGTTTTAAATTTTTTCGGTGGTGCTTGTTATTGTCCAAAATTTATGATTTGACCTTCCTGAACGACGCTCCCTGCAATGATTGTATCAGGCTGAATGTAAAATTTGTAGGGACAGAAAAGCCTGCAGACAACGTTATAATGATATAAAATGATCCAAGATGATGAATTATGAATTTATATACTGTTCTTTTGTCTTATTTAATGTACATTTCTTGGATAGAATCTCACATTTCTTTGCAGTCTTTCATGTGAATGACTATGACCATATCTCCACTCCTCTACGCAGGCCAACTATGTATGATGTAATTCCTAACCTCGCCTCACAGACTACGTGCAACCAGCAAAACTCATCGACTTCTATCAAGATTTTGGCTTAGATCTTCTATTTTCTCAGCTCGCTTACATCCAAAATTTAGTGCATCCACACCGACCTCCATTAATGCAATAAAAAACAAACACTATATTTTTCAGGGTTGAAATTGAATAATGCCTCGGTTGTCTCGGTAACGATGGCTGAAGGACTCAAAATACAAGTGGACATGTACAATCCTTGCTCGATTGTTAGCGGCATCGAGGTCCGAACTCCCAGCTCTTCGGCAACACCCATCGTCTACCCTGCTTCTTCGTCCTCTGACATCGTCGTCAATTGTTCACAGACGAACGACTTCAGTTCGTTCAAAATCACTCTTCTGACAACCGAACCATACACTCCGGTGCAAACCAAGACGGTTTCCATGATTAATAGTAAGTAGTTGCTGAATCTCTTGTTGATCTGTACTGGGAGAAATGCGAGTTGCTAAACCTGCACAACGCTGCTGCAAGAAAATATAATATCATACTAATTAGTGAGTTTGAAATTGAAGTAAAAAGTTCAAACGCGAATAATTTATGAGCTAACGTAAATATTCATTTCGTGCAATGAATTTTTGCATACCTTCTATGGTATACGATATTCTGATCGAGCAGTTCCAGGAAAAATTCACTGTCGTACTATTTTAGATCAAAATGGTTTAGCTTCGCTCCTATGTTAAATAGGGACCGCGAATGCCTACTCCTGTTTACTGAAAATGTAAATGCGTTTGCGCAGATCGGAAGTTTTAGCATAAATTACAGTTTAGTTGTTTCTACCTATTTATGTTCTTTGTTGAAATAACTGTATTTCGATGTATTTGGTCAATGAAGTATTATCTAAAAAGTGTATTAATGGTCCTAAGTGACAAGGAAATATTTGATAGTGCACATGGAGGAAGACGTAGAATTTCATCTATAAAATGCGTATTAATCATAGTTCTGCTTGGAATTACGAGTACTTTACTTTTCCAATATATCAGTAACGTCTCAGTTACCTGAATGATAGCAATATTATTTTGATGCAAACGATGTTCTCAAAAATAGCAGATAAAAATTTAAATGAATAATTTATTGAAAAAATTAAAATTATTTCGTATCTCCAGATAAATTAGCTGGTATGACTATCACCCCATATCCGGCTGTGGGCACGTGCTACGCATACGATGCTTCACGTGTCGCGCAAACTGCGGCCAAAAATAAATGCACGGACAATGGCTTGAAATTGATCAACTCCCAGGAACTGTACTTGCTCTACCGCCAAATTCTGGGGCCTAATTGTGAGTTCGTGATCTAATATTAATCATTATGACTGCTTTGTATTTGTGTACTATCGAGCATAGTAAGACAAAACAATTACCGCGCACTACCTCCACTCCATCTATTGGTGTCATCATGCGTTTTGATTGTGGAATATGCAAATATTTTAGCGATTTGTTGCATATATTTTAAAACTTAGGGAATTTTAAGTTTTTCACGTGGATTTAGGAGTGGCGTGAATTATCACACGTTGGACTAAATTCTTCCTGGTGCGATAGCAGGGCTTCCTTGCCTCCAAAATTTTACCGGGATAGCTTTTTTAAGACAATACCGAGCGATAAATTGAGGTTCATACTTTATTTTCCTTGATTTTGAATTCTTTTGTGAGATGATATAAAACGTCATCTAATATATTTTTTATCGTTATGAACCGATTTAGTAAGCTAATATGACTAAAGGGCATGTTATTATGCATTTACCCGTCGCCTCTACAGCTGGATGTTGAGTGCAAGATTTATCTCTTCAGATTATAAATGTTTTGATATTGATTGAGCAAGCTAGCCACCGTAGATACATGATGATTGGAGATAAATTGGAGTTCAGCGTTGTTTATGAGCTTGAACAGGCCTATTTAATATGCTAATTTTTATGCTTTAGTTTTGATGAGATTTGGGCTAACTGGAGTCTGGCTGACAAGTTTCGGAAGATAAGATAAGTTTAAGAATAATATTAATAAGCTTGAAAACAATATTATTAAGTTCAAGAAAGATAACAATAAGTTTAAGAAAAATAATAATAAGTTAAAAAAAATATTGATAAGTTTGAGAATAATATTAATAAATTTGAGACTGATATTAATAAGTTTAAGAATAATGACAAGAAGTTTAAGAATAATATTAATGAGTTTAAGAATAATGTTAATAAGTTAGAAAATTATAATAAGCTTGAGAATAAGATAAGTAGATAATAATCAGAGCTGGGCAGCGCTACTTTGAAATAAAGCGGCCGCTACCGCTACATGCTCTAAATGTAGCGGGCGCTACCACTACCGCTACACCCACAAGATTGTAGCGAGCGCTACCGCTACAGCTACAGTAAAATGTAGCGCCGCTACATTAGCTGCTACAATGGCCAAAATCATTGGAAATCTCTAAATATTTATTGTTCTGCTATTGGGATTTACTCATAAACATTTAATGATAATAAAACATTTTCAAAAATTATTAATGCAACTTTATTGCAATTAACCTAATCGAACTAGTACGGGTTAGATACAGTAAATAAAAGTTACAGTTATTTATATGTTTTACCTTCCCTACATGGATGTCTACTTTAATCTACCAATCTAAGAAATTATCCACATATACATATAAAAATCAGTCTTTTTTGTATATATATGAGGATTATTTTTGATATTGGTAGATTAGAGTAGACATCCATGTAGGGAAGGTGAAACATAAAAATAACTGTGTAAAAATAACTTAGCAATCTAAAACATGAAAAAATACCTGTAAGTGGTAACTGTTAACAACTTAACAAATAACAACTAACATGTTGGCACTAGTAACAGGCTGAGGTTGACAATATTTAACCGAAATCTTTCGTCGGTTTTATTCTGTAATTTATATTATGTATGTATCATGCTGGTTTTAAAATAATATTTAATACTATTAAGTAAATCTAAAGGCTTTATCTATAAATGTAGCGGTAGCGCTGTAGCGCCAAAACCTCGTATCGCCACTTAAATATGTAGCGGGCGCTACCGCTACCGCTACATTGCCTTAAATGTAGCGCCGCTACCGCTACCGCTACATGTAGTGCGCTATTGCTCACCTCTGATAATAATAAGTAGATTCTACAATCTCGTGCATTATCCATCCCGTGCATCATCACATTAAGTTGCTGGCCAGTAATATTATTTTTTGTATTTCTCGGTAAATGAGTTTGTCTGTTTGAATGCCATTGTTGTAAATATACATGTGGTTATACATGAGCAAATCCACATTCTGTCAGGTTATTAGCTGGTCATCAAAATTTTCTTGCATTGCAAGCAAGAGTCATTAAACAAACAGCAACTGAATCGTGAAATAAGGCTCTAAAATTTTCAAAGTTTACTATAACTAAATATTTTAACTAAGTGTTTGTTATAAGTTATAACTTAATGTTTGCTATAACTAAATGTTTGTTATAACTTAATGTTTGCTATAACTAAATGTTTGCTACAACTAAATGTTTGTTATAGCTTAATGTTTGCTATAACTAAATGTCTGTTTTAATTTAATGTTTGCTATAACTAAATATTTGCTCTAACTAAATGCTTGCTATAACTTAATGTTTTTTATAACTAAATTTTTGTTATAACTAAATGTTTGCTATAACTAAATTTTTGCTATAACTAAATGCTTACTATAACTAACGTTTGCTCTAATTAAATGCTTGCTATAACTTAATGTTTGCTATAACTAAAAGTTTGCTATGACTAAATGTTTGCTATAACTTAGTGTTTGTTATAACTAAATGTTTGCAATAACTAAATGCTTGCTATAGCTAACGTTTGCTATAACTAAATGTTTGTTATCACTAAATGTTTGCTCTAACTATATATTTGCTAAATCTAAATATTTGCCATAGCTAAATGCTTGCTATAACTTAGTGTTTGTTATAACTAAATGTTTGTTATAACTAAATGATTGCTATAACTAAATGTTTGCTATAACGAAATGTTTGCCATAACTTAGTGTTTGTTATAACTAAATGTTTGCTAAAACTAAATGCTTGCTATAGCTAACGTTTGCTATAACTAAATGTTTTTTATAACTAAATGTTTGCTCTAACTAAATATTTGGTCTATCTAAATGTTTGCCATAGCTAAATGATTGCTGTAACTTAATGCTTGTTATAGCTAAACGTTTACTTTAACTAAATGTTTGCTATAACTAAATATTTAATAAATATATGAATTGATGTTTTTCAAATTTGTAAACAGGATCTAGAAGGGAGTTATTAGTTACACGAGCGTTCTAAAGGTTTTTCTATTCACTTATTTTTTTAGTTTAAAAGCGATCATGTTGGCGAAGGGAACGATTTAATAGTGGAAACGTTAATTTCAAATTTCATCGGGTACTGTCTCGTACAATAGCAGATTATGAAGGTTTTGATTTATATTGTGCAGTTTCTTCCAGTTCCAACCTTTTTCCGATGTTGTGAATGCATAACTAAAACATTCTACTGAGCATTATTCAAAACTAGATTTTTTAGTAGGGCCTGCATCTTTAGGTTCACGTTTCAATATATTCATCTTAGATATTATCTTATCGTATTTATTTACCTTTTCAGGGGTTTGGGTTGGAATAAATTATTCTCCAAATCCAATTAATAAGTGGTATTGGGACGCGACGAGCGGATCAGGCACGAACCTGGTTAACGCCAGTTTCTGGCGGCCACCCTTCCCGTCTGGCTCCACCTGGAACCGGTGCGCTTTCCACGATCCTGACCCTTCAAGCTTTGGACTGAAGAATGTTGACTGCAGCTCTTCTCCAGTGGCGGGGACAGTGTGCATTCAATAAAATTATTGGGACTTCGACCACAAAGCTCGCAATTGCTCATGGGAGAAGAGATGAAATTCCCGCTAATTGAGCCCATACAAATTAAGCCGATCTACCGAAACGTAGAAGGAACGTTTATATGCTTCCAACCCTTTCATAGAAAATGAATGAGAATATTACGAAAATATCCGTCTAAATAATGTCATTCTCTCTTGTCATTCAAAACGCAGCGAAAATGTCCGCTTGATGCTTTCTTCGTAAACTTTAAAATTGCTCCTGCATGCAACACGTAATAACGATACCTTATTCACTTCTTCTCCACATGAATGCTAAGTCTGAACAATTTGCGGAATTATATTCTACCCACCAACACAGTTACAGTGGCGAAATAATAATTTAAGTGGCCGAGACTAAATTATATCTGGTTTCTTTATCCTTTTACATCAGTATTGCTATTTATTTAGTTAATGTGGCATATCAGAGTTTATCTATTTAATTTATTACTTTAATTCAGAGTTTGAGGGAAAATATCCAATATATATCAGTTTTAAAAGCGAAGTGCCCACTGCTTTTTAGTGTTATAGCCACTCTCTATAGGTACAAATGCACTCAAATATAAGTGCACACTCTATCGGTCGCGGGGAGGTATAAATAAATAAATATTTTCATGACCACAGTCATGCCAGCTCTCAACCATGAGAAAAAGAAGACCAACATCCATCATCGAGATTGTCGACTCTTAGATGCTCTTGTCGGCTCTTAGATGCATTTATTCCACTGCAGCTCCAATAGCTAACTGTAGGCATGCAAAACCTCCAGGTAGGAAAAGAACATTAATTCGGCGTCTATTATCCTTGCACTTCAGTAGGCGCTTCTGAGAAGTTGTCTACTTTCAAGCGTAGCATGTCAGGCGGAAGCGCTCAGATTCATGTTGATTTTGTCACTCAGGACTTGAGTGTACAAGGTTGGTATCGGTAAACTCGTTTTTGTGCGTAGGCTCGATTAAAAATAGTCACAAAAAGTCATGTTCAGTGACCGACGATGACACTCCGAATCTCCACGTAACAAAACGAGGCGTCTGGGGAAGCTCTGGCTTAGAAAATAGACAGCTGTTATTGATGTATGGCTTGTTCCTCCGTCTTGTTGAAACCATGCCGTATAGTGATTGACGCCGTCTTCTCAATTGTGGCATAAAAATGTCCACAGAAATAGGTAACGGTCTGAACTGAGAGTGACTAAAATGCATGGAATGTCAGATGGAACGCTTGTTGATTATAGACAGGCTTTTTGGACCTACAGTACCTGCCTCACAATTCTGAGTTTCGTTTCTGTTCGATGTTTGGCCGTCAAAAAACAGAAACAGAAAACAAAAACGAACGCCAAACAGAACAGTTTGGCGTTCGTTTTCAAGTTAGTTTTGGCAAATATTCTCTAATTTATGTCTTACAGTGAAAAGCTGGGTCCGCACATGCGGCAAAATTGCGTGCCTCAGTGACATTGTCTTTCAACTTGTCGTACTTTTCAGCAGTACTAGTCGCGTTTGTTATAATCCTTGAGTTACTCGGCCTTCTGCCGCCTCAAGTCAGATCTCAATAATTTTAGTCAAGTGTTGGCAACTGCAGTAATTCAAGAATAGCAATCACATACGTGATTGAGCAAGGGGCTGATAGGATAGCCAGTGATTTATTGCAGCGCGGCACAAATTTTTCTCGATGAACACGACATAAAAATGTTTATGAATCCTTTTAATTTAAAACACGTCTCCCTGCGGTGGCGGAAATTGTGCACTAGAATTACAATTTCACATTTCTGGCCATACGGAGGAGCACACAGCCTGTAACAACGCGATAAGTGAATAATATTGATTTTTATTTGCTGACTATCCTAAAGTGACAATTCTAGACCAAGATAAGACTGAGCTTTACCTCTTAAGGGCTGAATGATTTGCTTTTGAATAAAAAGATCACTTGGGCCGTAAAGTTTATTTTACAGATCAAATTCACCACTTTTACTACATTCCATCGGGGATTTTTCACCTGTTTGTATCTATAATGTTTGTAAGCCACATCAATGGCAATTAAATAGCAGCCAATTTCTACTTGAAGCCCACCGTTGTATAAGGGCAGTGAAAAAAAATGTTTTCTATACATTTTTATCAGCATTCTCCAACAAATCCTATTATCTGGCGATAAGTTATCTTTTAATGTTAGATTAGGTGATGATGACGTCAATTTAAACCCATATATTTAGCTTAGTAGATATTTTTCTTATGTAATCAGTGTAGTGAGAGGCACAAAGCTTGAGGATATCTCTTTCAGGTTTATTAAAATATTAATATATTAATGGTATCATTATTATTATTATAATTAATATTATTAATAATATTATCTGGTCATTATGTATTGATGGCTTCATTGGTGGAATATTCAAATCGAACGTAGTTCGAAATTCCACGTAGTTCTTAGAATTTGTCCTTCAAATTCTAGCCGTTGTCTTTGTTCCAAGTATTTCGTAGAACAAAGACAACGGCTTCAGCATCATACTCCAGCGTGTTCATACTCCATCATACAATGCGTGTTACTCCAGCACTGGCGCATTGAGTGACGAAATTTGGGTCGATGTCACTCAATGCGCCTTTTAACTTGATAATGAATGATTGAAACATTCGAAACGCCGTTAACGAAATAAAAATGT